AAACTGACCTTTCTTTCCTGCTTTTCAACCCCAGCTGCTTCGTGCGGCACAGCCGATTGCCGCACGTTGGCTCTTTTACTTACAGGGCTTGCAGGCGACTTGCAAACGCCGCCTGCGTGAAAACCACACGCTCCCACCAAACTGGTAGGAAAAAAAAGTTTTGAAACCCACCACGATCCGGGAGGTAAGATCTGTACTCATCCAAGGAGCACCATGCCGCTTTACGTCGCTGGTCTGAAGGACTCTCGACGCTAAAATAACGCACGGGGATTTAAGTGTGGGGCTTGTCCAACTGAACCGCTGCCCTCCTCCTCCCTCAGGCATCTGCGGTAGCCTTTGTCCTTGCATCCTGGCCTGCCAAGTGTCGGCGAGCCTCGGCGAATGTTGCTGCCTGCCGTGTCTCCCCGGAGCATGGGTGGCCGCCCGGACAGCCTTACGAGAACAGCTCCGTATCGAGGTATTTCCTTGGCTTTCCCCATTTTATCCAGAGAGGTTTTTGCAGCTGGAGAGAACCGGGCGGGAAGGCAAAGCTGCGAAGAAAGGGGGAAGGAAATTGCAATCCTTGCCAAGTGTTGGGAGAGCAGATTTTAATTAACTTTTAAAAGTTAATCCAATTCACTTGGCGTCGGTGCCAGTTGGTTTCCTGCCGATTTGAAATCCTGGGGCGGGGAGGGAGGGCAAGATCTCTCGTTTTGCCCTGGAGGGAGAGAGCTTGGTAGATCTTAAAAAAAAGAAAGAAAAGAAAAGTAGGGAAAGAGATAAAGGCATCATACTCCATATAGTGTACAGGAGAAGTCTTTCTTCTTTTTTTAAAGAAGAAAAATAAATGGTTGGCTGGAATAGAACAGACAAAGAATAATAAATATTATGATATGAATTGAGAGGAGATAAATAAAATAAAATAAAATTGAGAAAATTTAAAAGAGAGGAGAAGTCATATAGAAAATTGAAAATGTTAATAAGATATGAAATGGTATGTAAAATGAATATGAATTTGTGTCTGTACCAAGAGTTTTAACCCGGGACTAAGCAACTTTCAGAAAAGAGATTTTTTATGTTACTATGTTTTTGTGTTTATGTGTATTTATGTATTGTTTGTCTTGAAAATAAAATTTGTTTTTAAAAAAAAAGAAAAAAAAGAAAAGTGAAGCCAGAAAATAGAGATCAGTTGGGTTTTTTTTTTTTTTTCATTTATTTTGACTTGGAGACGGTTGGGATTGGGAAGGCGCAGCTACCATAGACAATAAGTTAAATAGCAGATGTTACACTGGATAATTTATAGCAGCATCCTTCAACCCTCGAAAACTTTCAGGTACGTGGACTTCAATTCCCAGAATTCCCCAGGATCTGGGACCTGGGAGTTAAAGTCCACACATCTGAAAGTTTTCGAAGTTGACAAACAATGATTGATGGTTATTTTCTTTTCCTTCTTTCCAAGGGGACTGTGTGCAAGGATTGGCTGGCTAGCTGCTGTTGCTGCCCTTGTGCTACGTGCCAGATGGCACGCGAGTTGAAAAGTCCCTGTTAAGCCATCTTGGCACCCATGAAGCCCACTTCACAATTAACCAGGAAAGGGAAAACTGACCTGTCGGGAAGGAATGACAATGTCGGACTGAGAGCAGACAAAAGGGGCTTAAAACAAGAGGCCGCAGCAGCCACGCAGGGAATGCAGCAGGAGGCAATAACCCTGTGCTTTGCTCTGAAGTGAAAGCAATGCTCCCCTCGCCATTTCCCTGATCCCTCCCATCACACCAAGTTTTCAGCGCCACACCTGGACCCTCACAGCGGCGTCGAGGGCAACTTGATACAAAAAAAAACAGCAACGGCTCCCTAATTCTGACCAGTTTAGCTGCTTGGCATTAACGTGGCTCCTGCGCCCGGCTTTCCGTTCGTTCACTCCCATCCAGCGTGGGATTAGCGATTTTAATCACCACGCGGCAGCTCGCCCGGCGTTGCAACAAGATTAAGCCCTTCAAGATTAAGAAGCTACAGCAAAACTCAAAGCATGATTATCTCCCAGGCATCGAAGGTACATCTTCTGCTGCTGCTGCTTCTAATTTGAAAGGGAGATGTCTATCAACCCCAAAGCTCATTCATGTTAAACAAAACCGCAGGCTGGGTAGAAGAATTGCCCAACGTGCCCTTTTTTTTTTTTTCTCCCACTGATTCGTTTGGGATATTGTTCCTGCTCCTCCACTCCAGATTGACATGATTCATTCCAAACACCAACTTTACTCCTTCTCGAACAGAGACAATCTCAAATCCAAGAGAAGTTTTTTTTGCCAGCCAACTACTTTAAAAGTGTTTTGGGATTTGTGGTGCCCACGGAGGTGGGGTGCCTGATAGTTCTGGCCGATTGGCAGCAACGCTGGGGAGAAAGCAAGCGAGGTGAGATCTTAGCGGAGTCTCTACACAGCGCTGGGAATGCAAGGCTGTGAACAATCCCAAGGTTGAAACGCCATCCTTCCTCCAGCTCTACACCCACTTTTGGACGAGCCCGGCCTGGGGCTCGATCACAGGCGGCCTTCACACAGTCTTTTACGGTGGAAACCGCGCAGCTGCTTTGTTCTCTTGGGTTTCTGCCCTGTATGGAAACATCAGCTAAACAAAGGAGCGGGGTTCACACGTATGAAGACACAGAAGAGCCACCAGTGAATACTAACCCAAGCTGAGCATGTTGCGCCAACGTGGACACCAGGACTTGGTTAAGCGTGTTGGGGAAACGCGGTCATTAAGAGTGAGGCTGGGGGCCCACGTGCACACTCCCCCTGTACCAGGGGTCTCAAACCTTGGCGGCTTTACAACATGTGGACTCCAACTCCCAGAATTCCTCAGCCAGCCATGCTCATGGGTGCCTGAGGAATTCTGGGAGTTGAAGTCCACAAGTCGTAAAGTCTCCAAGGTCTATAGATCCCTGCGGCCTGTACCATCCCTTCATACTGAGTTGGCCCCGAGACTCTCCCACGCAGGAGGGCAGTAGAGCAGGCACGCAGCAAGCCCCGAAGAGCAGCTCTGGTTTCCCCATTTGGTAGACACATCTCCAGCTGGCAGGAAGGTCTGTGCCGACGACGTACCAGCCTGCAGGTCCTGCCCTTCTCAGCCCCTCCACGGGGCAGGTGAAGGTGGCTGGAGCCCCTCTGGAGCCCCAGCAGGGCGGAGTTCCCCACTCACTCATAGGGACATGCTCGTGAGGTTCTCGTGGCTGAGCAGGCCCTTCCGGGAGCTGCTCATGCCATGGCTGCTGCTACAGTAGTCCTGGAGATTGTGGCGCAGGGTGACGAGAGCAGAGCCTAGGCAGGCACGGTTGGGGGCCTGCAGCCCGCCCGGTAGCTGGAAGAGGACGGTAGCCACCCCGGCCATGCCATCGTCTGTCGGCTCCAAAGTGATGGGACCCACCCGGAAGCTGGAGTAGGAGTAGCCCATGAGATGAGACAGGAAGGGCTCTGAGCGGCGGAAATGGGCCACGGGGTAGGGGACTTCGTGATAGGGTTTCAAGCGGCTGGGGAGGGGCTGGGCCGCTGCCAGAGACGGGAGTTTGTGAGGGCGAGCGGGGAGGAAAACCAGCTCGGCCGGTGCCCCCAAATTATCTGGCTCAAAATAGATGGTCACTTTGGCAAAAGGCCGGCTGGCCATCTTGGTCATCTCCTGCAAGTGGCGCCGTTGCTCGTGCCTCAAGTCCAGGAACTGCTTGACTTTCCAAAGCAAGACGCAGACGGAGAGGAAGAGGAAGAAGCACGAGAAGAAGACGGAGAAGAAGACGAAGAGGTCGATGTGCGCCTGGTCTTGGCGGAAGAAGAGCAGGCCCTGAGACTCGGTGACGTTGGGGCTGCCGCCGCCGATGCCCAGCAAGATGACGTAAAAGCGGCTGGATTTCAGGGCGTGGATCTCGTGCGGGTAAGTGATGACCACGCGGTCTCGGACACCTCGCACGATCAGCACTGCCTGCTGCTCCCTCACGGTGATGTAAGTGATCAAGCCGTGCGCCTGCGCCTCCCGTACCAGCGGGGAAGACTGGCTCCCGTTGCTGCGCGTCGGCGTCTCTTCCCCCGAGGGGACAACCCTCACCAGGTGAATGCCGGTCGCCCGGTCGACGTCCACCACAAACGTTTCGTAGGAGGTCGAGATGTAGACGTCCACTCCGCCGAAGGTCACGTCGATGGTGATCCGGATGTCCACGTTGGTAAACTTGGGCTGGACGCCGAAAAAAACCGAGCGTCCGAAGAGCAAGTTCTTGATGTTTGGCTCGTGAAAGCAGTTGAGTTGGGACGTCGGGTCGAAGCAGCTCTCCTGATCGACAATGATCAGCCGGTAGCATTGGTGGCCGCCCACCGGATTCCCGTGGAAGAATTCCCGGCATTTGGCGCACTGTGGAAGGGAGAGAAAAAAAAAAACGGCAGGCAGATTTATAGGAAGCGACTCCAACTATTTTGAACTCTTCTTCCCTACTCAAGTTGTGAGCCATATTTGAACACCAGGAGTCTCCAAACTTGGCAACTTTAAGACAGTTTTAAGACACGGTATATCTCATTTCCCGCACCCAGTAATACTTATTAGTGGACCTTAAATTTATTTTGCTTCTTTGATCAGTGCAACGGGGTCTGGAAAGCCGATGCAGGCCCGTAACATGCATTTTTTGTGCTCAGGATACAAAAGTGGTCCTGATGTCCTGATGCTCAGGATACAAAAGTGGTCCTCCAACCACAAAAACGGGGCGTAAAATGTACAATTCCTTCCCAGAATCCCATCCTCTTTGAAGAAATGTTAACGTGCTCCAGGTTATTTGTGATGGCGGGCCTTTGGGATTGCCTGTAACTAGCTCCATCAATAAAAGACAGATACTAAGCCAATAAATATTTGTTGGGCAGTGATTGGTCCTGTTCAGCTTCCATTCATCCCAGAAGGGGTTGGTGGGGGGACACTTAAGTTTGCACAGTCGAACTCAAATTTCACTGAGGGCCGCATCAGGGTTGGGTTTGATCTTGGGGGGTGGGGGGACCAGGGGACATGTTCACTCATATTGGGGGTGCTGTCAGGGCTCCGGTAGTGACCCCCATTTAAATCATGAGTCTCGAGCCAAACTTCCAAAACTTCAAAAGGATTTATTGGGAATTAAACTGTCCGGCATTGCCTGGGTGTAGCCGACTCTGAGACACGTCATTCATTGTCACCCTTGACCCTGGTTTTCCCTCACCACCCCCTGGGTATATCGTAATTCATATTCTCCAACGGGACACATCCATAGCCAAGAGTCATCAATCATGCTCTCCAGTTAGAATTTCGCATGGCAGAAAGTTTGGTCATCTGGAAATTATCTTTGAAAACATTTATGGAATGCAGTTTCGGTTTTGCAAGCTGCTACGTTACTCCCACCTCCCTTCCTGTTGGCAACTCTAAAAAGACCAGAGAAATAGTTTATGAGTTGACAGGCGCCTCTGGTGGCCCGAGCACTTTGCTCCTCTGCTCTGTTTTTGGCTCGGACGGCCTCCTGCCCCATGCGACCCAAAATGGAGCTCTGTTTTTGCTGGCAGAGGCACTGCAGGACAGTACTTTGTTCTTTCTTTGTGTCCAGGGTGGGCCTGCAGCCCAGATCTAAGCATCCCACAGGCCTGATCCGGGCCCCGGACCTCACGTTTGATATCCCTGGTGTAGGACAACGTCCAGAGCAACGGTCCTCGATTTCGTGCTCTGCTAATTTACCCTCCCTCTGAATGAACTTCCCTTTCTGCTGATTCCAGGGCAAGTCCTTTTCTTTGGGATCCTTCCCAAAGGGGGTGGGGTCTTGATAAGACCCCACCCCCCAGCCTGAACCCAGAGCCCCTCCTCCCACTCCACTCCTTTACCTGTTGTTTGTAGCAGTCCTTTTTATCGGCCTGGGCACTGTTCTGGCAGCCTCCGGTCTCTGTGTTGTTTTGGCACGGGCAGCCCGTCCCATCCAGTTCGTGGCAATAGTCGGCGTGGCCGTTACATTGGCACCTGGGAGAAGAGGAGGGGGGAGGAGGTAAAGGATTCCTCCCAATTGCACCGCCCACCATTCTGGGACCTCGCATTCCATCGGAAACATTGGTAGTCCTCGACTTACAACCACAATTGGAACTGGAATTTTGTTCGATGAGCGAGGAGGCCTCCCACGAGCGAGCCCAGGTTTTACAACTATTTATACTATGGTCATTAAGTAAATCATAGTCGTTAAGTGCATCTGGCTTTCCTCAATTGACTTTGCTTGTCGGGGAAGTTCACAAATTATGATCATATAACGGCAATGCATCGTAACGATCGTTAAATATGAGCCTAGTGCAGTGATGCTAATCTTTTTGGGCTCCTGTGCCCAAAATTATGCACGGGCTTGCAAACACTCGCGCTCGCGTGCCAGCACCCCGAAGGCAATGCGGGGGGGCCCCCCACACCCCCTACGCATGTGCGCGCAAAATCCCCACCTCCACCCATCCACCCCCGCTGCCCCCTTATCTGCACTGCACCTCACAGCTGATTTTCAGTGGGTTTGAGGCCTTTTCTGGCCTCCCATAGGCTTGAGGAAGGCTTCTGCAAACTTTGCAGGCTGAAAACTAGCCCCGTTTTGTCACTTCCGGCATTTTCGGAAAAACAGGAAGTGAAAAAACGGGCCTAGTTTTCTGCCTGCAAAGCCTGTAGAAGCCTTCCTCAAGCCTTTGGAACGCCGAAAAAGGCCTCAAACCCACCAAAAATCAGCTGTGAGGCGCGCGCATGTGCAGTGAGGTAAGTTTGCCTGCAGCTCGCGTTCCGGCACAAATGGCTCTGAGTGTTACCTGTGGCACGCGTGCCATAGGTTCGCCACCACGGGCCTAGTGTCTGAATTACACTCACAAGACCACAGGGATGGTTGACGGTTAACTGAGCCACGGTGGCACAGTGGTTAGAGTGCAGTACTGCAGGCTACTTCTGCTGACTGCCGTCTGCCTGCAATTTGGCAGTTCGAATCCCACCAGGCTCATTGTGGGCTCAGCCTTCCATCCTTCCGAGGTGCATAAAATGAGGACCCAGGTTATTGGGGGCAAGAGGCTGATTCTGTAAAACTGCTTAGAAAGGGGCTGCAAAGCCCTGTGAATCAGTATATAAGTTTAAGTGCTTGTTCCTATTGCTATTAACTCCGGAGACAGATCATAAATCACTTTATGATTTAAATCACTTTATGATTTTGAACCACGTTGAAATGAACCTGTGTACCTGTGTCTCAACAGGGAGAAACCTGCAGGCGGGGGTCAGCTCAAGAACTGTCCCCTTGGCCTCAAGCTCACCTGGATAAACGCCATAGCCAGAGAGCCAGTTTGGTCTAGCAGTTAAGACACCCGGCTAGAAAGCAGAAGATTGTGAGTTCAAATCCCACTCTAGCCGTGAAAGCCGAGTGAGTTTTGGGCCAATCCCCAGATGTTGAGTTGTAGTCCCACCTTAGGCATGAAAGGTGCCTGGTTGTCTTTGGGAGTTCTAGTCCCACCTTTGACAGCCAGCTGGGTGACTTTGGGCCAGTTGCTCGCTGTCAAGCCAACCCACCTCGAAGGGTTTGTGGTTGTGGGGGGAAATAGGAGGAGGAAGGGATATTATGTGTTATAAAAGAGGTCTTACTTGGTACATTTGCCCTCCAGCAGGAAGTATCCGTGTAGGCAGCTCTCGCACTTGTCTCCAAAGCTGTTGTTCTGACAGTTCACACACACCGCTGTATCCTCAGCAGGCCCTTCGGCCACCCAGGTGGGGATCTATGAAAAGAAACAGGCCGCCCGTTCTCTCTCTTTCTCTTCTCCCCATTCGTGAGGAGGTACGAGCTACAGATCAGTGATGGTATTCTACCGGTTCGGCCTGGTTCGGCAGAGCCGGTAGCGGCAATGAGCAGCGGAGACCAAACCAATTCCCTCCACCGCTCTGCTGCTGGGCCCGCCTGCCTGCCCGGGCTCCATACTCACCGTTATCCTCTCCTTCCGAAGCATAGCTGCATTGTGCAGCACAGTTAAGAGTGCCGCGGGGCAGCTGCTGAAGCGACCGAGAGAGCGCAGGCTTGCAGGAGGTGAGTCAAAACGCCTTCGCCTCTTGTGCAAAGGGCACGTTTGGTGAGCGCACGCCAAGTGTGTGCACGCACGCCCACCAAGCCACGCCCACCGAACTGGTGGGTACAACGTTCTGAAGCCCACCGCTGCTACAGATCCACGATCAAAGGGGAGGTCCTCATCTCAGCCAACTTCAAGCTGTAGAGCAGGGGCGTCAAACTCAATTTCATTGAGGGCCACATCAGGGCTCTGATTGACCTGGGGGGGGGGGGCGGGGGGGGCATAGCCAACTGGGCGGGCATGGCCGGCTTGATTCCACTCACTGGATGTGGCTGACCAGGTGGGCGTGGCCAGCTTGACACCACTCCCCAAACTGCTGGCATGTTTCCTATTTGCATTGGGTAGACGTGACGCGGGACGATCTCTTATATTTCCCAGGGTGGCCCTGCCGGCTGGGTCTGACCACATCGCAGGCCACATTCGGCCCGCGGGCCTTGAGTTTGACACCCCTGCTATAGAGCCATTCCACCCTTGGGCACCCCTTAAGACCGGATCTTTGAGAATTCCTTTTTTTAAAAAGAATGCATTCCTCCAAACTATAAAGACACCCTTCGAATTCAAAAGAGCATGTATGAGGAGGAAGGGCGATGCCTCAAAGGACACCTGTTTTTCAGCAAAGGCGGTTTCTTTTCCACGTAAAGTGGTAATGCAGGTGGACAGTTTGTGTGATAGCAGTACATGATGATATCAGTAGATCTGAAAATGCTTAAGTTTGCACAATCAGTGAACACTGGTGCACCAGCTATGTGTGGTGAGGACAGGAGCCGAGAGATCACCGGAGGCTTTTAAGAAGAGATTGGACCACCATTTGTCTGAAATGGTAGTGGGACTCTTTGCTTGAGAAGGGGGTTGGACTAGAAGACCTCCAAAATCCCTTCCAACTATTGTTATTCTGGAATGTTTTGGCACACTTTGGTGGTGAAATCAAGCCGGTTTATCCAGACAAAGCCAGATTCTGTATACAGATCGATCTAGTGATGTATAAAGAGAGGATTATGGAAAGTCATACGATGTGCTAAATCCTCATTTAGCAACCGTGTGGCTTAGCAATCATTCAGTTACAACAATGGGGGGAAAGGAACTTTGCAGCCAATCCTCACATTTACAGCCATTTCATGGTGACTGGAGGAATTCTGCAAGTTGAAAAAAGCAACTCCCAGAATCCCCCAAAGGGAAGCGGATGGAAGAGCGTGGGCAGACTCGTGGTTTCACTTAGCCACTGCTTCATCACAACCAAATTGCCAGTCTCAATGATGGTCGCTAAATGAGGCGTCAGCCCGGAAGTGAACCCTGGCTGGGGCCATCTTGGAGGCTTCAGGGTTTGCCCCACGCAATGGTGGGAGGGGGGGGGGGAAACAGCTAGATGGGGTTTTGTAGCCAATAACAATAACGCTTTCCTGTGTGGGAACCAAGGACATTCTCACAGGTGGCTGGCCAGAGGAGGAGCGAAGTAACCAAGCAACCAGACAAGCACCTGGATTGGACAGCGGGACCAGTGACTTGGGGGGAAAAGAAGAAGCTTTTGCCTTTTAATCAGGTGAAAGCTGCGGGAACTTTCAGAGTCGGTTTTCACCCGTTTGTGCCAATAGGATGTATCCAATAAATTGTTCTTTGAGGAACTTGCGCTGCCTCGGAGTTCTGCTTTCTACGGGCGCATTACTTGGGAACGCTGACACGAGGACGGCTATATAGGACCCCCTAATACCGGGGGATGGTTCTTGTCACTCACCAAGGCAGGCTCCAGGGGGAAGCGGACCGGATCCTGCTGCGCTCGCTTGTATTCTTCCCGCGTGATGCACATGTTGCTGTTCCCTCGGCAGAAAACGTGGCAGGGCCGGCAGGAGCCGCCGTTCAGGGCCGACCCGACAAAGAGCGGCTGGCATTTTTCACAGTGTTGCCCCTGAGGGTAAGAGCAGACGGGGGGGGGGGGGCAAGAGTTTTACACGACAACGGGCAGCACACGGGGTGAATTTGGGGGCTCTGTGGTGGGATTCCCAGGAGGGAAGGGAGCATTCCAGAGGAAGACGAGGCAACTGCTAAGGAGGGACTGTCCTCACCCTCTTTCTCTCACAGAGATATTATCTGTGAGAGAAAGAGGGCGAGGGCAGGCCCTCCTTAATAGTTCCCAAAGTCTATCCTAGATTGGCAAGAATTATGTCAGGCCCAAAACTGGTTGCTTTACCCAGGGGTGTCAAACTCAACCCCCGGCGGGCTGAATCCAGCCCGGGAGGGTGCTTAGATCTGGCCAGGGGGGGGGGGCTGCCCTGGAAATAGCGAAGGACCAGCCCACAGTGCCTCTGCCCGCAAAAACTAAGCTCGGGAAGGCCTTAACAACTGCATCGATTCACTGTGGCAAGAACAGCCGTGAAACGGGTTCAAAATTCACTTATCAACTGTGTCTTTTTGCAACACAAATGTTGGGCTCAACTCTGGTCATAAGTTGAGGACAACCTGTACTCTATTAGGGAGGAGCTGTCTTCGCCCTCTTTCTCTCTCACACAACGATATCCTCGCTGAGTAGCCTCTTAACTGAGCCGCAGTGGCGCAGTAGTTAAGAGTGCAGTACCGCAGGCTACTTCTGCTGGCTGTCTGCAATTTGGCAGTTCAAATCTCACCAGGCTCAAGGTTGACTCGGCCTTCCATCCTTTCGAAATCGGTAAAATAAGGACCCAGATTGCTGGGGGCAATAGGCTGGCTTCGTAAGCCACTTAAGAGAGGGATGTAAAGCACTGTGATGTGGTATATAATAGCTACTGCAATTGCTGTTCCTCTGGAAGGCTTCCCCCACTCCCCTCCTGCCAGTCCATCTCCTTCCTACCTTCCATTGGAGCCTCAGAGGGAAGAAAAGGGGCTGAGAACACAGAGCCGGCGTGCTGAAAATCCAGCCCAAAATACTTCCATTTGTCCCTCCGCTTTGCAGCCCTGCCCCACCCGTGCGCTTCTTCGCCTCCTTACCATGGTGTTGTTGAAACACTGCAGGCACTGGTCTTGGGCTGCCACACCCCGGCAATTGCTGTGTTTGTTGCACTGGCATTCCACCGAGCAATTCTGACCCACGTAGCCAAAATGGCACTGGCACGCATTGGGTTCCACGCAGGTCCCGTTCACACAGCCTTGCTCGCACACCGGTTTGCAGAGCCCTGTAATGCTACAAGAAGAAGGAGAAGAAACAGGCAGAGTCACGAAAGAGTCTTTGGGTACACGCGTGTAACTCTGTGCAGAAAGAGCAGGCCAGAGCAACACCAATTCTCCTTCGCCCTATCCCAGGGGTAGGCAACCCGCGGCTCTGGAGCCGCATGTGGCTCTTTCATCCCTCTGCTGCGGCTCTCTGTCGCCAATCAGCTCCACAATTGATAGGGCTTTCATTTAGGACAGGTAGAGGAAAAAGGACAACGTGCTAGGAGAGTCTATGGTGGGGGAACTGGACTTCCGGTCAGTAGAGGATAAAGGACACTGCGCTTGGAGGAGACTCTATGGTGAGGGGGAACTGGACTTCCAGTCGGCAGAGGAAAAAAGGACACCATGCTAGGAGGAGACTCTATGGTGAGGGAACCAGACTTCCGGTCCGTAGAGGATAAAGGACGCTGCGCTTGGAGGAGACTCTATGGTGAGGAACTGGACTTCCGGTCAGCTCCAGAATTGAATGGGGGGGGAGGGGTCTAGTTAGGGCCTGTGTGGCTAGTTGAGTGTTTAAGGTTGCCAACCCCTGCCCTATCCCCATCAATCACTGTGACTGGGATCCGTACGGCTTAGTAGAAGATTTGAGTTCCAACTTATAGAGGTAGTCCTTGACTTACCCGAGTTTGCTGAGTGACCGTTTGAAGTTACAATGGCACTGGGGAAAAAAGTGATCCTATGACTTGTTTTTCACACTTACGACCGTTGGGACATGTCATCAAAATGAAGTTGCATGGCAACTGACTCATATTTGTGACCGTTGTAGCGTCCCAGGGACGCATGATCCCCTTTTGCGAAGCAAAGCCAGATTCACCAAGCAGCTCTGTTACCCACTTAACAGCTCCAGGGATTCACTTAACAACCGTGGCAGGGAAAGACGTAAAATGGGGGCAAAACTCACTTAACAAACATCTCATTTGGCAATGGCAATTTTGGCCCAATTCTGATCGTACATCTAGGACTACTGTATTGTTCGTGCAATATTTCTCAATCTTTTTTTTTTAAATTACTGATTTTTTTTTTATTAATTACATTTCTTAGTGCTTCATAAACATCGTGTTGTCTGGGTATTTGATTTGCTTAATGATACTAATTATATCCTTAATCTCTTTTTTCCAACCACTGGTAGAATAAATACCATATTGGATAGCATATTCTGGGTCTTCCTTCTGCTTAATTTTCAATGCCAATCTATCCATTTCTGCACAATGTTTCCTCAATCTTGACAACTACAAAATACATGAGCATTCCTGCCATCCAACACTGCGTGTGTGTGTGCGCACACACACACACACACTTGTGAGTAACCAGGTTTTAGTGGTTCAAGGACAGAGCTTTGCTTATGCTCTTGGGCCTTGCAACCTCTCCCCTTCCTACTCCTTTACGCAATCTAGCGAAGGCCGAGGATCCAAAAGAAGCAACAGGTAGGGAAAATCAGCCCCCAAAATCGACTGAATGCAGGTGTGTGCAGGTAAGGATTTTAAGCAGGTGTAATTCTTTTTTTTTTTTCAGGCTGCGGAATTGAGGTTTCTTTCCCCGTTGTTAGAGGCCTCCCAGGAGAGCCAGACCCAAGCTAGAAATACAGCTGGGGCCGTCCTCCTTCATACTGACTTGTCCAGGGTGTAGCCGTTTTTGCAGGTGCATTTGTAGCTGTGGGGCAGGTCGCTGCAATTTTGGGTCTCGTTGCAGTCGTGGTGCCCATTGAGGCACTCATTCTCAGGGGGGCACGACATGAACGCCCAGTCTGCCTTTAGGCCGCACAAGTCCACCAGTCCTGCAGAGCAGAGAGGGAAAGAGAGAGGGGGAAATCTAAACCGCAGGGATATATTTTCTGAAGAAAATCCTCTCTTTTGGCCCAGAGTTTCTCCAATTTAGCTGCTGTAAGCCGGGTGGACTTCAACTCCCAGAATTCTCCAGCCATCATGCTGGCAGCTCCCACCTACCCCCGCGAAGGTCCTGCATATCTGTCCATCCCTTTACAAAGATGTCAAAACAATTATGGCCAGAAACGTGATACTAGAAGCTGCTTCCACATATGAAGATATTTAAATATAGATTTTTTTTTCCTCCTTTCTCACCCATGGCTAAACCTCCTTTCTCCTTTTATTTTCCCCCAAACCTCCTTTTATTTTCACCCAAACCTCCTTTCTCCTTTTATTTTCCCCTCAACAACAACCCTGTGAGGTGAGTTGGGCTGAGAGAGAGGGACTGACTCAAAGTCACCCAGTCGGTTTTCATGGCTAAGGTGATTGGCCCAAAGTCATGCAGCCAACTTTCCTGACTAAAACAGGACTAAAACTCACTGTCTCTTGGGGATTAGGCCAAAGTTACCCAGCTGATGTTTGTTTTTAAAGCAGTACTAGAATTCACCATCACCTGGTGATGGGCCCACAGTGACCCAGCTGGCTTTTGTGCCCAAGGCAGTACTGGTGATTGGCCAAGGTCATCCAGCTGGCTTTTGTGCTGAAAGAGGTACTAGAACTCACCATCACCT